TTTTTATAATTTAACTATATACATGTATCTTAGTTAAATCCATGTGTGTGTGTGTATATATATATATATATTTGTACATATGTGTATGTATATGTATGCATACATATTAGTGTTTTTACAGATTAATGAGTATGTATATATATTATTAGATAATAGACTATAAGTCAGTTTTGGCTGCCTCTGGCTGATGTGCAGGGGACTTTGAGTGATGCCCGAGAATAAGTAACCCATTAAATATTACCAGCCCTCTACAATGTGGCCTCGCCTTATGCATTCATATTTACACTCTACTGCAACTACCCAATTTCCATATTTGTCTCCTCAAATTCTGCCTGAGATTAAATGATGGCCTTCCTGACTGAAATGATTATCTTTTTATACATAATGATTATTCAAATCTGAGTTTCTGTTCCTGTCATTTAAGTGCCACTCATACTGGCACTGTTTAGTATGCAATAACTTTAGAAATTATTAACTTCATATAGTTTATTTCCCCAATGTTGAGGAAAGACATTCTTGTATTTATCTCAGACCTCGAAGAAAAACATGAATTGAATATAGACTTGAATGACTGAGTATATGCTGGGAAAAGCCACTGGGTGGGAGGCAGGGACTTGCTGCATAGGAGGCTGTCCAGGTAAGCGGGGAACATATTCTGTTGTGTCTGGTATATCCATCCCCATGGCCACTTCCACCACTCCCACATCCATATAGAATTCACAGGTATTTTATAAATGAGAAAAGACAACCCTACAAGGTATGATCAAACAATATGGTGAATGTTTAAACAAAAAAATAATTTATTACAGTAAAAGATACATTGCCATTAATCCCCCTCAAAATACTTCCCCTTGCTTCAAACACACTTATCCCATCGTTCTTCCCACGTTCTGAAGCAGTTCTGAAGTCCTCTTTCATGTCTTTAGTTTCACTGTCGTGGCTGCCTCGATGTCCTGAATCGATTCAAAATGTTTTCCTTTCAGGGTCATTTTGACTTTGGGGAAGAGCCAGAAGTCTCACGGTGCCAGATTTGGTGAATAAGGTGGATGAGGACACACCGTGATGTTTTTATTTGACAGAAACTGCCATACCAGAAGCAATGTGTGACATGGAGTGTTGTCATGATGGAGGATGAAGTAAAGACACTCATGAAAAAGGACTTCCAGAACTGCTTCAGAAAGTGGCAAGAATGATGAGATAAGTGTGTTTGAAGCGAGGGGGAGTATTTTGAGGGGGATTAATGGCAATGTATCTTTTCTGTAATATATATTTTTTAATTTAAACATTCACTGTATTTTTTGATCACATGTCATACCTGGGATCAGATAGTGAGGAAAACAGTGAGCATTCCTTCTAACTTTGTGCTCCTCTTGTGGATAAGGGTGGATTGTTGAGAAGGCTGAGCCGAGGTAGAAAGGGAATGAAAGACTGGGCATGACTTGAAATTCCCAAACCCACTACATTCTCAACATACTAATGGGGCATGACCCCAAGTCCCCAACAAAGAGGTCAGAAAGAACCCAGGAACATTTCTGTTCCTTTTCCAGAACCAGGAGAGTTATTAGGACTGGCACCAGGACTTTATTTCTGACCCTCTAGAAACGTCAAAAGTACAGTTCTAGTTGCAGCACGAAAACACCAAACTTGATCTCATAGCGTAGTCCCTCCAGGGATTCAGATGCTCCCTATGAAATTTAATCTCTCTGAGCCTCGAGGCTTTTCTAATTTATTATTAACAAGAACAATAAAAATAATAGAAATAATAGGGTAGATAAAAAAGTTTCTATTCTTTATTTTTTAATTTTGTTCCTCAGTTAAATAGAAAGGTAATTCCACTGCTGTCCCCTACAACAGAGATACTGGATTTACTACCAGAGTACCTAGAGTCTTAGAGAAGGAGCCCAGATCCTGATCATAGTTTCAACTCCATCACCAACCACGTGTGGAACTTTGAAAAGGACCAGACTTCTAGACTTCCCCATTTCCTCACCTGTACAATGGGGGCATGAACGTTTGCCACCCGGGTCCTGCCCTGCTGATCAGAGGTCCCTGGGGAAAATGATAAACAATAAGAGCCCTCTTTCTCTAGAGAGAAAAATGATTCATGGGTGTCCCAAGAGTAGGACGGGTTTGGGCTTCCCCCAACGCGCGAGCGGCTGCCCGGGTGTCCGGATCAGTCCACAAACGGTTCTCGAGGGGCGGGATCTCCCTGTCTCAGGGCCACGATCTGCGCGGCCTCGGTTCCGCTGTCCAGACCGCCGACCCGAGCTGTGCCCCAAACCTCCCAACCCCGAGCATCTCGGCCCCCGGGCCCAAGTCTCCTCTCCTCTCCTCTCTCCTTCCCCTTACTCAGTTTTAACATGGGAAGGGTGGCTGTGAAGAACCCCTTACACTGGTGTCCCCGGGATTTCTATGCCGTAGCTACTCCTCGGCCCCGGACCCTCCCTTTTCTGCCACTCATTCTTCCGCGACAGCTTTCCCCGCCCTTGTCCGTGTCTGGCTCAGTGCTCCCAAGAGTCCGCGTCACTTACGGAGCCTCTGATGGGGACGGGGACGACCAAATCACTCCGTCTACACAAACAATGGCCGCAGCCCCGCAGCACCGAGCCGAAGCCCCAAGGCCTGGTATAGACACTCGGAACGTTTCCATGGAGACGGGAGGGGGCGGGCAGGAAAGGAGAGCGCAGGAGAACGTGGCTCCTGATTGGCCCGAAAGATGGGGGCGCAGTCAGGCGCTGTGCCACCAGCGTTCCAGGGCTGGAGTTGTGCACTCGCTCGCCGGGAGTAGAGGTTGGGGCTGAGCCAACCACTCCTCACCCATACACGAAATAAGACTGTTGTATGTGCTTTTAAGGTCCCTGGGAAGGGGGCAGTGCTGGGGGTTCGAGGAAATGAGCGGCCGGCCTTGGAGAATTCTGGGACCCTCACAACAGGAACCTGGGGGAAATCTTTGCTGTTAAGTCCCCTTTGAGGACGAGGGGTGGTTGGTCCTGCTGTCCCACGCCCTCGACGAAATGGGCACCCCCATTAGCTCTGGCCCTCGCATCGTCCCTAAACTCGAGGTTGGAGTCACGCAGAGGAGGGCCTTTCAAATTCCAGCTCATGGTTGCCTGGGACCGTTTCGTTCCTGCTCACGCGCTGGTGGGGTCTGGCTTTCCTCCTCTCTTCCTGCCAATTCCTTGGCTCCTCTCGTGGCTCCAGGCAGACAGGAAAAGTAAGGTGGGACCGAGGTGTAGCCGTGGGAAGGAGCATCTTCTATCCTGGGAATAGCAGAAGGAGATCAAAGCATCTGATCTTCTATTATGTCGTTGAGTGTGTTATCTTGGGAAAATGTTTTCATTTCCTTAAGCACTTTCCCTCAAACTTGCGCTGGATCCGTAATATTCAATTTAGTAGGCAAGAAACCTTTGTTAGGGTAGTCTTTAAAAGCTAGAGATTCCTTGGATTCTGATCTGACTACACCACTTACAGGTGATGTGATTTTGGCTGAATGACTTAACCATTTTTTGTGTCAGCGTCCCCACCTTTAAAATAGACATAATTATAGTAACCATTTCACAGGCTTGTTAGAATTAACTGAGTGCAGTCAAAATGCTTAATCTAGTCCCTGGCACATAGGAAGTATTCTATAAATGTTAACTATATGTACAGTTAAATGTTCACAAGGGGTGGGTAGTCCAGGGACTACCCTGTCACCCCTAGTAGGAAATGAGCCCTTGAATTTCTTAAGATTCCTAAGACCACATTTTGAAAATCACTGTGTGACCCATCCCTGGCTTAAACATTCAGAGACAAAATGGCCTATTGTTTAAGAAATTGCTTGGGCTTTGCTGTTGGATAGAACTGAGTTTAAAATCCATCATTGTTATTCATTAGGTGATGTTGAGCAAGATCTTTAATTTTTCGCCCTCAGTTTTCTCATCTGTTAGATGAAGATTTTAATGTGGTTAAATAGTTATAGGTGATAAAATCTAAAATCCTGAATGCATAGACATTCACCAGTAAAAACAAGCACTGGAGGTGGGCTGCTCTGCCACCCTTCTTCCAACCTGTAGAATATCAGTCCTGAATGTTAAAAAATAAGTGGGATAATCCATGTAATTTGCTCTTTTTTTTGGCATTCCTGGCACATAAAAACATCAAATGTTAGTTATTGATGTCATTATTTAACTTACAGTCTCATTTTTAAAGCTGGTTTGAAACTAAACTATTGTTTATCAGAGGATCTCAGAGATGTAAGGGAGTCTCCTGGACTTTGAACTTTTGTGAACTTATTTTGAGATGGAAGTGGAACCCAGGGTTTTGTTTCAAGCAACTGATTGTTTGCAAATTAATTAATTAATTAATAACACTAATCCTTAAGGCTTTGCACCCCAGACACACTGATAATGTCTTCTCCTTGTGAAGCTGGGATATACTGGGAAAAATTGGGGCTTTTCATATAAAAGAAAGTGAGTGGGTCTCCCATTTCATAAGGTCATTCACAGAACAAGGCAGTAGCTATCTGTTAGATATGGATCATGAGGGAGAGTCTCAGAAAGGGCTGCCTAATGAGCTCTTCTATTTCCTGCTCTAGCTGCTTCTCCTAAGCAGAGAACTGGGGCTTATGGAGAGAAATATTGAGTTTAGAGCACTGGTTTAGAGACTTAATGTTGGACCTCTCTTTATACTTCTGGGTTGATAAGAATGTGGAGAAGGGCTTCAGAGTCTAGGTACTGAGGACTTGAAAGTGGCATTTCTTGAAAAGATCCTGGACCTCAGGTCTGTGAACCTTTATAGGAGAACTGTATATATTTACTGGGGTTCTTTGACTCCCAAGAGACCAAGAGCATGATGAACAGGTAGACTGACAGTCTCCTGTGCTGAGTCTAAGAGGTTATAAGGAGACTAGGGAGCAAGAAGGTTTTATCCAGGTGCCTCAGTAGGAAAATGGCAGGCTTCACGCTTCAACTCAATAGCCAGCAGCAGTAAACCCCGTTGCTTCTTTGTATTCCCCTAACTGCGGGACTGCTGCCACTTAAAATATTTCATTAACCAGACCTGAACCTCAATGAACTGACAGAAACAAAACAAAACTAAGGGTTCCAGTTAGCAGACAGAGAATGATGAATAGAAACAAACAGAATGTGCATCTAGGGATATATAACTGCTAGAACAGCAGATGGCAGTATCAATAACAAAAAAGTATCAAGTATAGCATAAATAGTTTTTGAAATTAAAAATATATACTTTAAAAAATAAAATTTANAATATGCTAAAAAGCCATTGACAGAAGAATATACACAGTGATTCCATTTATATAATGTTCGAAATTGGCAAACTAAACAGTTTTGTTTAGAGATGCAGACATAGGTAGTTAAAACTACAAAAAAAAAAAAGAAGGCTAAGGAATAATAAACACAAGATTTAAGATAGCCATTGCCTCTCTAGGAGAGGGAGGGGATGAAACTGTGGGATCGTCAGGGAGCTTTTAAAGGTATTTGCTGGTCTAGATGGTGGGTGTCCATGTTATTGTATTTTAAATTGTACATATGTCTTTTAATATATTTTTTTGCATTATGTAATACATCACAGTAAAAGTTCAAATAAACATAAAATGCAATTACATAGTTTAGAAAAAGTTTAGACACGTAAATAATAATCTTTAAGTTATTTTTAAAATAATGTTTACAACAATAAAAATGTAAATTCTTAAAAATTAGCTTAACAAAAACACTTAAAACCTATATAAAGATAGCTTTAGAATTTAGAAATACTCTACAATCTTAGGTAGAGTAAATAAATATAATTTTGTTCTCACTAAACTTACCTATATTTTTAATGGGCTCCCAATCAAGATACTAACAAGTTTGGGGGAGAGAGGAAGAAGGTATCTGACAAACTGATTTTCAAGTGCTTTCATGAGAAAAAGAAAAATTGTGAAAAAGAAATAATAAGGGGAGACTAACCCAATGGAATAGTAAAACTTTAATGAGGCCTCTGTAATTATACCACCATGGGGTTGACACAAGAATAGAAATCAATGGAAAAGACTAGAAGTCCAGAAATGGACTCAAATATAGCCATGAATTCTAAACATGATAACGGTGATACCAAGTTGGTGGGGAGAAGATGGTTTATTTAATTAATGATGCTGGACAACTGACTAGCCATCTGGCAAAAAAAAAAAAAAGGTTCCCTGTCTAAATTCTTGTATCTTAGTGACTAGACAGTTATCAGATATGCATTATATTTCAAATAATAACTAGTAATGGCAACCAATTGTTAATGAGCTCTATTTGTTAAGCACTTGTACTAAGTCTTTTACATGTAATCTTATTTAACCTTCTTAACAACTATATAGTAGGTTCTATTTTCCCACTTCAGTTGAGAAACTGGTTAAGTAACTGAATCTAGTTCACATAACCAAGAAGTTGTGGAGACATGAAACAAGTTTAGGTAGTAGGTCCAGAGCCTATATTTTGTCCAATATGCTATACTAACAAAATACACTGAAAGGTTAACATATTCAGTATCTAAAAGTTATTATATGTAACTTTTACTTCATTTTTTCCAAAATAGAAATCATAATGTTATTCTGTGGAATATTTCCAATATATACACTATCTTTCTTTTCTTTATCCTCACTGAGTAAAAAAGAAAGGCTAAATTCCTCTTCATTACCCATTAAATTCACTACATATAAAAGCAAAAGATTAAATACATTATGATACCAGTATTAAGAATTGAGAAATGGATCTATGAAA